CTCCCCACTGAGCACGGAGCCCCACACAGGGCTCGATCCCACCACCCCGAGATCATGACCCGAGCCAAAACCGAGAATTAGACGCTTCACCGACTGAGCCAACCAGGCACCCCGGAAGCAGTTTTGCAAAAGACACCAAAAAGCGGCGAACTGTTTGCTGGTCAGTGAGGAAGCCTTTCAGTTAGTTCTGCTGCGTTGTCATCACAGTCCTGCTGTTTTCGTCACCTTCAGGTGCCAGAACCTATGACCACCTCAAGAAGACGCGGGAGGAGGAGCGCCTTAAACGCACCATGCTCTCGGAAGTCCTGCAGTACATCCAGGACAGCAGTGCTTGCCAGCAGTGGCTCCGGCGGCAGGCTGACATGTGGGTATCTAGTCCGGGGCGGTGGGGGGGCGTCATCTGGGATGCTTTGGCTTTTACAGGTAGTTTCAGACATTTCCATGGGGACCCCACCCACATGGCAGAGTCGTAATAATTGGGTAGCTGGAAGAACTCAGAATTCTTATCTTAGCAGTCTGTCTCAGAAACACTGCGATACTGACAGTTTTGAGAAACATAGCTGGCCCCCTAGAGTCCTACTTTGCTACTTTGATTTTCTTTTCAAAAATTAGTAAATTCCCCCACCATGCCTCCTCTTTCCACCCCATTATCTAATGGAATGATTTCCATTGGCGAATCATGTCCTTGTCATTTCCCCATGATTAGTCTCCATGATGTTCCAGACTAAGAGTTCTTCTTAACAAATGCAGGCGATTTCTTACACCCCTCAGAACAGATCACCTTTCCTGGTTAGTATAGTGGGATATCCTATAAAACAGTACCATCTATCTCTGCATCCCTTTAAAATAACCAACCTGGGGCGCCTGGGTGGCTCAGTTGGTTAAGTGTCTGCCTTCAGCTCAGGTCACGATCCCAGGGTCCTGGGATCAAGCCCCGCATTGGGCTCCTTGCTCTTCAGGGAGTCTGCTTCTCCCTCTGACCCTCCCCCCTCTCCTGCTCTCTCTCTCAAATAAATAAATAAAATCTTTAAAAAAAAAGATTACAGAAATATGTTTTCAGAATTAGCAATAATTTCCACTAGATCTGCAAGTCGTTTTTTTTCCTATTGAATTCATCTTGTTTGGGTAGGTAAATAAGATAAGACCCAGAAAGAGCTTGGAATGTGATAAGTACTCAGCTGTGTGTTAGCTGTTTCCGTAGCTTTTTTTTTCCTCCTTTTTTTGCTTCTCCTGCCTTGAACTGTTGACTGCCTAATTCTGTTTCTCATATGAAAAAGAGTTAGAGTCCACTGTAAAATTTGTGTTTGGTTAGAGACACATCCTCTCCTCCCTATTCGTACCTGCCTGTTCCACCACACAGGGATATCAAGTGCATCTCCACCAGCACAGCAGTCTAGAGCTTATCAAACTACAGCAGGGTGTTAGAAAGCAGTGGGGTATTTCATGGTACCTGGGCTTTTATATGGAACAACCCTCTACATCAAGAAAGAGCTCACTTATAGAAAGAGTTCTACCTAAAAAAAAAAGTTTGAAAACCATTGCCTTAAATCTTGAATCTGATATTATTGAATTATTTTTATCTGTGGATGGTTGTGAGGAAAAATAAAGCAGTGTTGTTTAACTTTTTGAACTTACTGGATCGTCTGGGTGGCTCAGCCAGTTAAGCGGCTGCCTTTGGCTCAGGTCATGATCTCCAGGGTCCTGGGATCGAGCCCCACATCGGGCTCCTTGCTCAGCAGGGAGCCTGCTTCTCCCTCTCCTGCTCCCCCTGCTTATGCGTGCACTCTCTCTCTCTCTTTATTAAAGATTTATTAAAAATTTATTTTTATTTATTTGACAGCAATAGTGAGAGAGCAGGGGGGCGGGGAGAGGGAGAAGCAGACTCCCCACTGAGCAGGGAGCCCAAAGCTTAATCCCAGGATCCTGGGATCATGACATGAGCTGAAGGCAGACACTTATCTGACTGAGCCACCCAGGCACCCCTGAATAAAATCTTTAAATAAATAAAATTTTGAACTTATTAGAAATGAACAAAGAAAATCTGTAGTAACTAATACTTTTTTCTTTATACTTAAACTTTAAAAAGTAATGCATCCACTTACCTCTTCAGATCATCCAGTTAGAATTTGTTATTTTTATCTCAGACTCAAGGCAGAATGGCCTAGATAAAGTATTCCTGGTCATTTCCCAGTGATTGAAGTTACATGCATATATAGTGCATCTGTTCATAGCCCCACATGTTAGATTTTGGTATTTCTTCCTTTTAATCTGAGACTGTCCTGAGAGCAGGTAGCAGTGAGATGCACAGTAATGAGTCAGCATGGAGTATCCAGAATTTATTATCTTGTCAGGAATACCATATTGACACTGCCTCAGAATTGTACATTACTCAACTTTTGTTGTTTTATATACTGAAAGAAATTTGTGATTGTAACGAGCCATTGTGTACTGTTCTCTTACTTGATTGGTTGCATTTTTTTTCCTGCCTTAAAATCTAGTTTCAGGAAGCAAAAGTATGGGTTTCAAATTATTCCACGGAGGTACCCTCAGAGACTACTACAGGAAAAGGTAGCTGAGGTAGAATAGGGAGAAGAGGTTCAGCTAAAGCTGATCTAACTTGTCCGTTTCAAATAAGAACGTGTTTGAAAACAACGTTTAAAAGTTATTCTAGGAGAACATGCAAATCTGTGTTGACTCATTGCCCCCATGGGTTAAACTTGAATTTGTATCTCACATCCTTCTGATGAGCAATGAGATTATATTGCCTTTTTTGTTTATCAGTATTACAGAGGCTCTAGGCTCTATTTTGGTTCAATGAAGCTCACTAACCTGGAAGACGTGATTGTCATACACAGTAAATTCTTTGCTGCACGGCTGGTGTGTTAAATTTTATTAGCTACCATCTGAATAGCATATTTTAGTTTTTCAAAGGACACGTGTCAGGTCATTATGTTGTGTTCTAGAGCCTCTTTCTTCTGTGACTACATTCAGTAATTAAAACAAAACCCATCAAACTCTCAACTTACACAAAGCCTAAGGGGATAACAAGTTACTAAGATAGTTCCAGAATCTACTGAAATCATTAAATTTTAAGATTCCTTCAGAATCCAGGTGCCTGGGTGGCTCAGTCATTAAGGGTCTGCCTTCGGCTCAGGTCATGATCCCAGGGTCCTAGGATCGAGCCCCACATCGGGCATCAGGCTCCCCACTTGGCTGGGAGTCTGCTTCTCCCTCTCCCTCTGCCCCTCCTCCCCCCACTTGTGCTCTCTCTCCCTCTCTCTCTTTCTCTCAAATAAATAAATAAAATCTTTAAAAAAAAAGTTCCTTCAGAATCCATGGATTATAGTTAAGAATGGTTTGTGTAGCACAGTGCCAAGTCAAGTAGTCTTCATAGTTTCTTCTAGAGCTGTTAACGGTTGGTCTTTATTTCTTAACTTCAGAGGGTCTTCAGATTATAAAAAGCCTGTGGGAGTTGTTTACTTCTGAGTTTGTTTTTTTTTTAAACACTCATTTCATTTTTAGTTAAGCCAGATTTCTCTACTCTCACAGAGAAAGTAAACATGTTGGGCAATTTCAGTGTCTCTGCTACTCCAAGGCTCTAGAATCAAACTGGGTTTGGATCCCTGCTCTGTACTTAGCAGCTCTGTGAGCGAGGGCAGATTGTTTTGCCTGCATGGTGTATAGGGCATATGAAGGAATGGTAGGAAATGAAACTGGGAAGATAGGGAGATTCAGGGCAATAAGGAGTTTTGTATAATATTGTGAGGGTTTGAACTCCTGTAAGTGGATGGGAAGCCACTGGAAAAATTGTCAGCAGGGGAAATACACCATCAGATAATGCTTAAAAACATTACCCTGGTACCATTTGAAGGGTTGAATTAGAATAAGATAGGACTGGAGTTACTAAAAAGTACATGCAGTGATCTAGGTGAGACAAGATACCCGAGCTAAGGAATAGGGTTAGGGACAAAGAGGAAGAGATGAATTCGAGACAGACTGAAGCCTTCGGTATAGGTAAGACTCACTGACTGGATATGGAGGGAGGGGAGGGAGAGTCAGGCTGATTTCTGTCTTGGACAACAGTTTTGGGAAAGAGGTAAAGTACAAATTTGTAACTTTTTTATGTTAGTAGAGATATCCAGATAGGGTCTGGAGCTTAAAATAAATATCTGAGTTTGAGATTATATATTTTGATGTACTTGGAACCATAGGAGTGGATGAGTTTATAGGAATAAGGTGAGGGGTGAAAAGAAAGATGAGAACAGAACCCTGAGGAACTCTGAAGCTGGAAAAATTGGCCAGGGAAAGAAAGAGAACCAGAACTATTGTATTGATGAAACCTTTTGCCATCTGCTGACTGTTTTCTCCTGATTCCCTGTGTCTTTAACATGAGGCTAAAGCCAGGAAAGGATTGGGACATGCGCAACAAAGCAGAACATAGCTTTGGGGTTGTTAGGCCAGTTAGTGGAACTTTTCACTACTGCATGCAAAACTATCCCCTAAATAGTTGTTGCTCCACAACTGAAAAGTGCTACTCTGGGAAAATGTCTCTGCTGCACCTTATTCACATCAGTCTTTTTTGATATTGTCTCCTGAACTTACTCCTGTGAGGTTATAACCCCAGTCAATATTCATTTTTATGACTACTCTAATAGATGCGATTTCTAGCCCGTGTATGACCAAAGTTCAGACTCCCGTTATATGAAACCTAGTAATATGCATAACAAGGCATGGCCAAAAGAGCTGTTCAGTAGAAAGCAGAAATTGTTATCTATAGGGTAATGCCATACAAACAGATACATAGGAAAAAAGATCTTCACTGTAATTTACTGACAAAGAAATTCAGTATCCTAGGATATTTGTTTCCAGGAGACAAAGTGCCTAGACCAGTGAGTGTGGAATAGTTAGCAATTTGAGGTTCAAGGTTTAAGACCATTCGGATAAAAGATTTATTTTTGTCTTGGCTTTATATCTATGTGTGTGTATGTGTTTGTTTATAGCTCTGAAGATGGCTGTAGTAGATATCTATCATTCCAGGTTAAAGGAGAGACAAAGGCGAAAAAAGTAAGTACAGAAAACCATCCAGCCTTCTTTCAGGTATGGACTATTGACCACATATAGCCCATAGAACATTCTAGCTGTGGCTTGTCTTGTGACCTTGAGGAAGACACTTATCTTCCTTGGTCCTTAATTTTTCCATCTGTCAAATGCAGATAATAATACTTGTCCTTTTTTTGTTTGTTTTTTACCTCCTCTTTCTTACCCTTTCTTTATGTTATGATGACCACTGAATAACATGGGTGCACTGTTTTAAGGAAAAAAGGAACAAGATAAATTCAAGGTGTTATCAAATTGTTATGCTTTTTTTTAATGCTTTCATTCTAACTGCTCATTTTTTATGAGAAGTCTTATCTAAAATAGGATTTCAAAGAAATTCTGAACAGGTTTCAGACAGTTACTCCTTCTCTTTGCAGCAGAATAAAAAACATACATTCAGACTGAGAAATTATGGATCCCAGACCCCTGTTAGCTTACAGAGACTGTTAACAGTTCAGGAAAGGGTATGCAGGGGTATGAACATGTGTGTGTGTTATCATGGTGTTACAGACTAGAAACACAGTGGCATCTCAACAAAAAAAGAGGAATAGGACTTGGGAGGCACTCTTGAGGGACCAAGATGTGACCTTAAAGTAAAGCGTGCCTAGAGTCAGCTTCTGAGAAGTGCCGAAGGAGATTACCCAGCTGACCCTGTGAGAAGCTTCATCACTAGTCATGAATACCTGCGGTTCCAGACACAGCTCTGCATGGTTTACCTAAATTCTGTTTTTGCTTAAAACACATAATTAGAGCTAGCCAGTATCGTGGAACTCAGTGGTTGAGGATGCTGTTAGATTTTATGTTGAGGCCCTTCTACTAAACATGCACAATATTTATTTCAAATAGCTTCAAAACGTTCTGTGAATGTATACGTGTGCAGTTGTAAATGTTGAAGGTGTGATCACGGCACCCTTTTATGGTTTAGCCGTTTCCCTTAAATGACTGTTCTCAATTATCAGTTCCCTAAATTGAACAGATTAATTCTTATGACACAGACACAGATTCCCTTCTGTTTCATTCCAAGTTATAGACATGTTTTTCAGTATTTTTGAGTGCTCATTCATTCATCCAGCAAACAGTTACTGAGAGTCTATCAGGTGCAAGGAGAGGAAAAATATATGATGCTTGAAAGCCTAAAATTGTGTAAGCAGACTCACTACCCTTCAGAACTTTGTGGGGAATGATGGTGTCTTTGAACCTCAGTATTCCACCTCATAGTGTTTCAAATGTGTAATAAAAGCTGTATGTGGAAGACATTATTAGATGTGGAACTAATTATAATATACATTATTGTGGTTTTCATCCTAGAATTATAAGAGACCATGGATTAATCAACCTTAGAAAGTTTCAGTGTAAGTATTAGCTGCTTTATTTTAAAATTTCTTCCAACAATATTGAACAGTCTTGAACAAATCATTTATGGCAGTGGTTCTTAATCCAAGTTGCGTATTAGCATCATGTAGGTAGCTTTTTTTTTAAGTCATCTCCACACCCAGTGCGGGGCTCAAACTCACGACCCCGAGATCAGGAGTCACATGCTCTACCGACTGAGCCAGCCAGGCGCCCCAGCATCTCATGTTGGAAGCTTTAAAAAAAATTCTGATGCCTGGGTATCACCTGAGGCTAATTAAGTCAGAATCTCTGAGGGTTAGTGCTAGAGCATTTTTAAGAAATCTTCAAGGAAATTCTGTTACATAGTAGAGTTCAAAACCATTAATGTATGATCAACACTTGTATGATACTTTTTTTTTTAAAGTAGTATAGTAATTACAGCATGAATATTAATGGATCATTTTCTGGAAGTGGGTAGGAACTATATGTTAACATAACCTTGGTCATTGGGTTGTTAAACATTTTTATGGGAAAAGCAACCATTATTTTGCATAGTAGTGGACAAAAAGACATCTAGCATTGTATGATGGTGATAGTAAAACTATAATGACTTCTAAGTGAATGCACACTTTGACCTTACTGTTTTAAATATTGGAGATACCTAGGCTGAGCAGAAAGTCTCTGTACTTTTTCTTCTTCTACACTGTATAATTTGTTCAGCAAATAAGAATGATGACTCATAATATGATTACAGTATTTATATAGAAATGTTAGAATACTTGTATGTCACAGTAGTCCTTTTTGTAAAAGTTCCTAACGGTTATTGTGTTTCTTATCCTAGTTGATAGAATCTTAGAGGGCTTGACACTCTGTGCCATTGTAGGGTTCAGGTCAGCCAGTCATGGGTTAAGTGTTTTTTAATATAGTTGTGATCATAAATAAGTATGTTACATTTTTTTTCACTTTCTGTTAACACTTTTTCAAGTGATTGAGGTGTTTTGAAGATGTCCCTCTTAATAGTTATGTAATATGTTGTGTATATATAAGTATATAACATGCTAAACTTTTATTAGATATTTAGCTTATTTTCAGTTTTTTTTGAATCATAAATAATCCTATGATGAATTTGTGAATAAAGCTTTATATATATGTAGAATTTTTTCTAAGGTAGATTCCCAGAAGTGGAGGTAATAGGTCAAAAAATGTGATCATTAAAAATGCTTGACCTGCGCTGCCAGATTGTTTTCCAAAAGATGGTTGTACCAATTTATATTCCTTCTAGCAATAGATGAGATTGCCGGTTTAACCTCATCCTTCACTGAGGACTGTGGGTTTGCAAAAATAACTCAGGATCAGATTTCCATTGCCCTTTCTATAGACAATTATTGGTCATATTCTAGTAGCTACAATAGTGGGTTCCCATGTCTGAATGCCTGGGCTTTCAATAATAGGTCAATAGGGGTTTGACCAAGGTCAATAGACCTTGACTCTCATATAAACTCTATTCTCAGCTGGTAAACAGAGGTCAGTTTAGCCTGATTATTCTTTTTAATTGTATTTTGTACGTTTAGAAGCTGAGAGGAGGCTTTGTTGGTTTCAGAGGTGTCAATTGCCATTATAGTGAGTGTATGTGACCTTAATATTGTAGGCAGAGGGGTTTTTTCATCAAATTTAAAGTTTTTACTCCTAATTCTTCTGTACTATCCCTGTAGGGTGTTTTTTTGCTTTTGGTTTTGGTGGGGGGAGGGTTTGGTAGTCAAAATAATCTATGGCTGCCCATCAGATCAGCACCTGGAATTTGTGGATAAGAATGGCTCCCTCAAGGGAAGAGATTTGGCTGAGGAAAGGACTTAATTTAAATAACTGTCATGACAGAAAGCTTTTATCTGTAGTCCAAAAGTGAGCAGAACTAGCTTAGTTACTGATTAGCTCATCTAATCACCTAGTTTCAGCCTAGTGCATCTGATTGAAACGACCAAGTAGCAGTTCTGGCTACTCCAACCTACCACGTACTGTTGGTAGGTTTTACTCCCCATCTTCTTTGCGGATACTACTTTTTATTAGAAATTTGGTCGTTAGTGATCCTCAGAGTTACTGACTGTGGCTACCCTGTGTATATACCATTTACGTGGATGATAGTTATCAAAATATAACTTCATTAGTAGTAAATTTAGTTGTGGTACTTAGTTTAGAGGAAGGCAAAATGACCCTGATAGAGAGTGAAGAAATAAATGCCTCACTGGAGGCCGTGTTGTTAGGGAGATTTCTGGTGGGGCATGAAAGATAGCACACTTTTTTTTCTAGGCTAGTCTACCTCTTCTAGATGGATTATTGTATCTGCACTTCCCTTGTTTTCCTGCGGAAGTTAATACCAGAAATTTTGCCCAACGTTGTTCCTAAGAATACAGTGATCCGCCTTTAATCATCTTTCCCATTACTGCCAACAGTCCCTGCCCCTGTATAGATGAAGAGCCTGAGGTGTGGAGGTCACCAGGGCACTCAGTGATGCAGATGGTCTTCAGTTCTCCAGGGATAACAACATCCCTGTATGATAGTCACTGGGATGCTCTTATCTTGATGATTAGTGTTTTGCATTCTTGGCTTTCCTGTTTGCTTCCCGTCATGGGTAAATTAGTCATGTGAGGTTAGGCATAGTGTCCTTCCATCTCACTTCTTATAAAAGAAATGCAGAGAACTTAGAGATTCTTATATTCTCTATGGCATGGTTGTGTTTTATGTTCTCTGTAGTAATGGAACGGCGGTATCCCAAGGAAGTCCAAGACCTTTACGAAACAATGAGGCGATTTGCAAGGATAGTGGGGCCAATGGAGCACGACAAGTTCATTGAAAGCCACGCATGTAGGTGCTTTTTAAGCCTTGCACAAGTGTGTGTGTGTGTGTGTGTTGATATAAATAGGAGAGAAAATGGTATGTTTTAGGTGAAGTTCTATAAATAAATAAATGGATATTTTTATCTTTTCTTCCCCTTTATTACCATGAACTAAATTTGGGACTTTGGGGGTAGGACAGAAGAGGTTAAAAAGGCTGGTAGCTTTCTTTTTTCCCAGCTAAGCAGTAGTTTAGTAGTTTCTCCCTCCACTTTTTATTATGGGAGTTTTCAAATATATACAAAGATAGACGTAACAGTGTAATGAACCCCCATGTGTCCATCACCCAGCTTCAGCAATTAACACATGGCCAATCCAGTTTCATTTTTTTTTTTTTTTTAAAGATTTTATTTATTTATTTGACAGAGAGAGAGATAGCGAGAGCAGGAACACAAGCAGGGGGAGCGGGAGAGGGAGAAGCAGGCTTCCCAGTGAGCAGGGAGCCCGATGCGGGGCTCGATCCCAGGGCTCTGGGATCATGACCTGAGCCGAAGGCAGACGCTCAACGACTGAGCCACCCAGGTGCCCCTCCAGTTTCATTTTTATCACCCCCTCTTCTCTCACCTTCAACTGGATTATTTTGAAGCAAATCCCAGACATCAGATCATTTTGTTCATAAATATTTTAGTATTAAAACTAGATTTTAAAATGGGGACAGAGTTGGATGACTCATAGAGATAGTACCTCCATCATTCTCTCTCTTTTTTTAAGTATTTTATTTTATTTTAAGATTTTATGTATTCATTTGAGAGAGTGAGAGAGAGCACAAGCAGGGGGAGAGGGAGAAGCAGACTCCCCGCTGAGCGGGGAGCCTGATGCGAGGCTCGATCCCAGGACCCTGAGATCATGACCAGAGCTGAAGGCAGACGCCCAACCAACTGAGCCACCCAGGCTCCCTCATCATTCTCTCTCTCTCTCTTTTTTTTTAAGTAAAAAAAAAAAAACACTTTTTTATTTCCTTAAGTAATCTCTACGCCCAGTGTGGGGCTCAAACTCACAATCCCAAGATCAAGAGTCCCATGCTCTATGGACTGAGCCAGCCAGGCTCCCCAGTACTTCCACCATTCTTTTGCCTGTCTTCCTGAGAGACTCTACCCAATTACCATTTGATTTTTCACAATAAAAAAATTGAAGTTGTTAAGGCAGTGAGGCCTACACTTTACAATAATCTGGACTGGGTGGCTTAGGCTACACCTTTCATCACTAGATTTGTGTATTTGACCCTCAAATTTAGTTCTGGGAGAATGCTTTACCAAGGCTCTTACCCTGTTCTCATCATGCAAATATTTCTTGCATGGCATTGCAGGCATTTATCTGAGCCAGGTTGGTTGTCCTCGTCAAGCACCCTGTTTGGTTGGCATTCTTTGTGTGGTTTGTACTGGGTGACTGATCTTTTACTTCCTGTCCCAGTTTGTGCCACCCCTGGTTTATGCGTCATTCCAAAGAATTACACCCCATGGCTTGTTCAGGCTCTTCCTTCATCATGCTCTCTTTCAAAGCACTCAGATTTGAATGTTCTATCACGTAATAACCCAAGCAGTTGCAACCTGAGCTGTGCGCTTAGAGGAGGCAGAAATCTTTGGTTTATGGAAAACAATGCTCTTTTGTTCCTATAGGAGAAAAGCTGTAAAGAAACTATCTGGGACTTGAGCACAGAGCTTTTGTCCTTTGCTTGCAAAAGGGCCACATCAAGTAATAGCAGAGACAGGTTTTATAAAAGAATTTGGTTATGTGGATAAACCTGTTAATAGAGGATAAATAGAGCGGGGAAACTTAGTTGTTTAAAAAATTATATTTGTTCCTTCTGTAGCTAAATGAACTCAGCCGGTTCACTGTATGTTTTCTGGGGGATAGTTCCAGCTGCGTTTTCCAGTTGGCCATGGCAGCCAAAAGATGGCTAGCGTAGGCTTTCCTCAGCTCGAGGGTAAAATTTCTAATGAGATGTCACCAACGTATAGGATCCCTCAAATGGAATTGCCTGGTCTCGTATATAAGGGAGAATTACTGAAAATAACAGCAAAAGTGTTCATTGATGATGATTTTGTTTTTCCAAATTTTCTCCTTCATTCTTCTTGGCATAAACAGTGGAATTTGAACTCCGAAGGGAAATCAAGAGGCTCCAGGAATACAGGACAGCAGGCATTACCAATTTTTGTAGTAAGTATGCTTAAGCTACACATTGTATCGGGGGCAAGTGTCTTCTAAACACATAGAGGAAGTCTCTGTTTGAGGCCATGTGGATTTTTTTTAAACAAGCTTTCCTTTTTTGGAGTGAGTTTTTGATCTTTCCAGTAAAGTCTCATCTGTTTAACCCTTATAAATGCCATTGTATGGATTATCTCAGGTAAAATAAAAGTGACGACACAAAAGAGAGGTGCTGCTTTAGGTTTGGGAATCTGCTGTGGCCTCTAAAAAAAGAAAAGGATTTTGTATTCTAATTTTTAGCCTCAGCCTTTTAAAATTTTGTGATGCATGGTCTGATCATTTGTATTAACCAAGCTTCAAATGGCTCTTTGTGCTTGCATCCCAGTTACTTAAGGTAGTAATAATAATTATATTAATAGCAGCTAACATCTAAATAGCAGCTGTTTACCATACACCAGGCCCTGTGCTAAGCATTTCACCTGGATGGTATCATGTGATTCTCATAACAAACTTAGGAGATAGGCATTGTTATTTCCATGTAATGAAGAAACTAAGGTTTGCAACGGTTAAAGAGATACTTGTGATAGAGCCAGGTCATAAGGAAGGCAGTGTGTTACAGTAGCAAGAGGGCTTGAGGTATAGACTTGGACAGGTTGGGTTTGGGTTCTGGCTCTCCTGCTTATCAGATTTGTAATTTTGTTTGGGTTTCAATTTTCCAAGTCTCTTAGAGTTAGTAAGATTAGAGATAATGCATGAAAACAGCACAGTACCTGGCCCACAGTAAATGCTCAATAAATGGCAGTTTCTCTTGTTTCGTTAGATCTTTTTTTTTTTTTAAGATTTTTATTTATTTGACCGAGAGAGAGACAGTGAGAGAGGAAACACAAGTATGGGGAGTGGGAGAGGGAGAAGCAGGCTTCCCGCTGAGCAGGGAGCCCGATGTGGGGCTCGATCCCAGGACCGTGGAATCATGACCTGGGCCGAAGAAAGATGCCCAACAGACTGAGCCACCCAGGCGCTCCATGTTTTGTTAGATCTTTAGCATTCCCTCCTTTCTGTTGCTTGAAAGCTATCACCCACTACCCATGACAAGTAGCCTTGTGGGGTGTAAGTTCAGCCTAGTGTAATGGTTCTTGATTTTTAACAATGGAAACCATTTCAAAATGAAATTTTATGTAGAGCCCTAATCTATAAATAAGAGGAAAGTGGGACTACTTTGAAGCCTGATGGTGCAGGTCATTTACAGAACCCAAACCACCTGTACATGGTAGTGTCTGCTCTTCACAGTAACCCCTGAGATATTTTCATGGGCTCCTGGGGCTTTATGGAACATGGCTTAAAACTCACTGGTTTGGTTACTTTGGAATCTGTACACCTTTGTTAACATGTAGAAAACACCATGCAACCTTTGTTTAATAAGACGCTGATACCAGGTTTTGCTTACCTGATATTGATTGCATCTGGGAAAGGAATCGTGCTAGTCAATGAGGACTTATTTTTATTTGTAATTTTAATTGGTTTTTAAAAGAAGAGTATATGCATATAGGACTTGTGTAACTTTGAAAAACATGACCGTATTAAAAGTTAGTTATTTTTGGGGTGTGGAAACATAAGTGACTCTTACTTTCTTTGTATTTTTCTGTTTGGGGGGCTTTTGACTCCAAATTTCTTAAAGCTAGGAAGAGAATAAAAATTTAATTATTTCTTGTCAAAAAAGGGATTTCAAACTAAGGGAATCAGATTGCTCTTTTTTTTTTTTTTAATTTTTTTTTATTCTTATGTTAATCCCCATACATTACATCATTAGTTTTAGAGGAAGTGTTCCATGATTCATTGTTTGTGCATA